GTATAAGGACAAACAGATTAATTACTATTTAACTGGGAATAAGCCACAATTAAAGATAAAATTACGTTTATTGACGTTTCAATTTCCACTTCGGAAATCGTTCTCAAAATACAAACAGTAAATTAAACAAATTTTGTTTTTTGTTACATAGTGAAAAATTCTTCTAATAATTTAATTTTATCTGACTCATTTATATTGACAATTCAGACATACATTATGCATTTTAAAGTAAACGACTTTAAAATGATATTGCCAATATTGTTGAGTTGCGCTCCTGGGACGACTTTACTTATAAGATAGTTCATTCGATTACATGAAATCAACTTTAACTTGAGAATATTCGTTAGAAAAAATCATAGCATGTAATTTGTCTTTAAAAAGACAAGCACATGACATGATGACAGTAAAATTCTCCTGTTAGTGATTTCATAGTAAATTGAATTGAATTGTCAATATAAATAAGTTAGATGATAAAATTAAATTATTAGAAGAATTTTTCACTATGTAACAAAAAACAAAATTTGTTTAATTTAGTGTTTGTATTTTGAGAACGATTTCCGAAGTGGAAATTGAAACGTCAATAAACGTATTTGTATCTTTATATATATATATATATATATATATATATATATATATATATATATATATATATATATAGTCCCAAGATTCCTAAGAGGAACATAGGGCTTCCACAAAGTGTCTCCAGCGAACTCTATTTCTGGCTAGTGCTTTGATTTCAAGGATTTTCCCATTGTTCTCCCTTCGTCCAGTACTGTCCTTCTCCAAGTTCCCTTAGGTCTGCCTACTTTCCGTCGGCCTTGGGGATTCCAATCCAGCGCTGTCCTGGCAATGTCATTTGGCGGTCTACGGAGTGTGTGGCCCAGCCATCTCCATTTTCTTCGCCTTATTTGCTTTATGACATTTTCTTGGTTGCTTTGGTTCCATAAATTTTCATTGGAGATTCGGTTAGGCCAAAATATACGAAGGATTTTTCTTAACGCTCTATTGATAAAAACTTGTAGTTGGTGTACTATGGGTGCTGATATCTTCCACGTTTCGCAGCCATACAGTAATACAGCTTTTACATTTGTGTTGAAGATTTTTAGTTTCGTTTTAGTTGGGTAAATCCTGGATTTCCATATGTTGTTAAGCATGTTGTAGGCGTTGCGAGCCTTATTTATTCTTTCATGTACATCACGCTCTGTACCCCCATTACAGTCAATTATGCTGCCCAGATATACAAATTCCGTTACTCTCTTAATTTTCTGGTCGTTGATCATAATAGGTTGGTTGTTTCTGGTACCAAATCGCATTTCTTTGGTTTTGTTGGTGTTTATTTCTAGACCAACCTTCTTTGATTCTTCTTGTACTTTGTTTACTTGGAGTTGCATGTCCTGTTTTGTATGTGCTAGGAGGCATATATCATCAGCGTAATCTAGGTCTTCCAGTCTGTTTGTTAATCCCCAGTAAATTCCTCTATTAGAGTTTCCCTTTGTTAGTACGGAGTCCAGTACAATGTTAAATAGTATAGGAACACAGCCCTGCTTTACTCCTTTTAGCATAGCTATTGGGTCAGATGTTATGCCGTTGTGTAGGATTTTGCTTTCTGTGTCACTGTAGAGTTCTTTGATGAGATTTACTATTTTTTCTGGTATTCCTATTTCCTGCAGCCGTATGTGTGAGCGTGTCAAAAGCTTTCTTGAAGTCCACAAAGCACACAAAGAAACAATCAAATTGAAATATATTTTGTTTAAGTTTTGATCAAGACTCGATAAATTTTATAGCAATATAACTAACAACAAACCCAACAGTATCAAACCCCACTTATACAACTCTTGTTATATCCATATATAAAAGGTTTATCCGAACAACTAACAAATCTTTTAGGCAAACATAATATAACAGTGTCCCACAAAGGCAACAACCTCTTAAATAAATATTCCACAAAACTAAATACACAAATTTCAAAACTTAAAAAATGACATGTTGTTTACGAGATACCTTGTATTAACTGTGAAGGTGTCTATATCGGTTAAACCAGTCAACTGCCTCAATCCAGAATTCGGTCTCACAAAAACCACAAGAACAACGTCATTGCGCTTACAAAACATGAAAGCGGGAAGAAGCATAAATTTGATTTTGAAAACATCAAAATTTTAAAAACAGAACAAAACAAAAATAAGAGGGAAATATACGAATCAATAGAAATAAAAAGAAATACCAACACACTAAAAGTATATCGCCTATTTTCTTCAACAACGTGAAAAGTACCAAAACTCAATTTTTTTATTTGATAATTAAAACCGCCGTGTCAAACTTTTTTTTTATTTAAACAAAAATAACCCTGCATCAACCACTAAGAGTTATTAGCAGGGGGTACAAACACAAATTACAAGTACAATTTCTTACAATATATATATATATATATATATATATATATATATATAATATATATATATATATATATATATATATATATATATGTGTGTGTGTGTGTGTGTATAACTTAAGTATGATCTATTAAACACTGTAACATTTAATGTCTTTCAAATATTTCAGCACTTTGTTGAACTGTAGCTTAGTAGATCCTTCATGTTAGTAGGGAGGTTATTTTTTCTTCTTTCTTGGGTGTATGTTTTGCATTCTAACAGAATATATTTTACAGTTATTTATATCTTGCAGTTATGGCAAAAAGGGATCGCTTTTTTATTTATTAAGTGAATATATTTGAGTTGGAGTGGTAAGGTGTTGCATTTCCACGTGTGATGGCACCCAAAAAAAAGTTATTTCTATGTTTTTTTGTTGATAGTAGTATGAGTTAATTTTTTATTAGCATTTTAATTTCATTTAATAGATATATTTGCTGTTAAGCCTTTAGTGTACTTGAGTCAGATATTATAACATAATGAGGTGCGGATTTTCTTCTGCAAACTTTCAGTGTCTCTAAAATAGCGGTTACTTCTCCGGTAAATATGCGACTCGGAGGGAGTCGTATTTTAAAGTGGTCTGCTCCATGTATGTAAGCCGCTGCTAGTCCTGATTGAGTTTTTGATGCATCAGTTTAGATGTTCAGAATTTGGATATAGGGATATTATTTCATGGTATGATTGATATATTACTAATTATTATTTATAACTGGGAATAAGCCACAATTAAAGATAAAAATACGTTTATTGACGTTTCAATTTCCAATTCGGAAATCGTTCAATAGAGAACGATTTCCGAATTGGAAATTGAAACGTCAATAAACGTATTTTTTATCTTTAATTGTGGCTTATTCCCAGTTATAAATAATAATTAATTTACAATGCCACAAGAAAATAGCTTCAGAACAATATGATATATTACTGTTGGGTTAGTGGATGCTTTGGGATAGCGAGTAAGGGATGTGTTTACAATTGGTGGACTAGTTGACCAAGAGGGAAAGTTTTGGGTTGGGATTATGATGACACTAAACTGCTCACAGTCGTAACCACTAAATTTGATTCTTTCATGAAAAGGGAGTGTATTAATCGGTTTATTTTTGTAATTACTGATACATTTATGTTTTAAGATATTTGAATGCATGAGATTTTGATGATTTGATGATATACAAGTTGCATAATTTAGTGGCAATTGTTGCCTTCGTAAATGTAAAGGTAGTTCGTTAGCTAATACTTAAAGGCTATTGGTTAGGCTAGTTCTAAATGTGCACAGAGCAATTCTTAGTGACGTTGTTTGAATTAAGTTTAGGTTTTTAATGTATTTTTTTTTTGGCAGTACCATAACATATTGAGCCGTAGTCTAATTTGCTACGTATAAGTCATTGGCATAAGTTTAATTGGGTTCTTGTATCTGCTCCCCACGTAAGGTTTAAGAGAATTTTCAGGAGATTAATTCTAGGTTGGCATTGTTTTTGCAAGGTATGTATGTAACTTTTCCAGTTTAGGGTGCAATCTAAAGTTGACCCCAGGCAATTTATTTCGTTTGTTTCTTTTAGAGTATGTCCATTTAAAGTTAGATTAACGTTCTTTATATTTTTCTGTTTCCTGAATATCATGTACTGTGTTTTTTCAGGAGAAAAGTTAAAACCAGTTTTAAGTGACCATTTTTCTAGCGTATGTAAAAATATCTGTATTACTTCAGCCGCACACTCCACACTTCTGCTTTTATGGTAGATAGTCAAGTCGTCTGCATATAAATTGGCTTTAATCGGTAATCTCATTTCGTCCAAGATGATATCTATTTCAATTAGAAACAATGTCGGACTTAAAATGGAGCCTTGCGGAATTCCATTCTTAAGAGAGCGTGGACTAAAGTTATAACCGTTAGCTCTTACTTCAATGTGCCCATTAGTTAAGAAATTTTGTATAAAAGCTAGTGTCAAACTTTATTTAGTGTCAAACTTTTAGTGTCAAACTTTATTTAGTGTCAAACTTTATATTCTCCAAAAATGCGGTATCTATTCAGTGAGTAATAGCAAATGTATAAGGAAAAGAAACAGCAGAACGGTGCTACATTGCGAAGTCACGCTATATCTTTCTTCAGAGTTCTTTGTTTCAACAAAGACTAGCCAGTTGTCACTCCGTACGCGAAGAGGAAGGTGTACTAGTTTTTCGACAAGAACGTGTTATCTGGACGATATTACATTGTAATTGCAAAGGTATGTATTAATTTTTTTATTCTATAATATTTTATATATCTATATATCTATTATTATTATATTTTTTATTCTATAGTGTGATATGTCTATTTTAAAACAGTGTTGTTGAAAAATGTCAGTGTAGTGTGAATTGGTATATATCTTCGTGTCACAATGTTACTGAAAATATATAAATTTTGCTTTATGTTATCTAAGGATACCACGTTGTATATGATAAAAATTTTCCCAGTACAAAAAACAAGTTCAAGTTACATACTGATGTTTCGTTCTTCCAGAAAAAATATTTTTATGAGGAATATTTTTAAATATTACATTGCTCATACTAAAATATATAACTAGCATGAAATTATTTTTTCAGATGGAATCGCGATGTAAGAGGATCCTTAAACTTGCAATGGCAACCGAGAAATCGAACATTCCCGTTCTAATGACTAGTGGTATGTAAGTTTTAGTTATCTACGAAGTAGATACTAAAGGCACCCATTAGGCGATTGGTTTTATTGTCATTCATCGCCGATTCTGGCTACGATTGACCGAAAACTTATGTAAAATTTAAATAATATCTGTGTTGTTAGGTACGATATGCATAACAGGTTTGAGTATATGGTTTTTATTACTGTTATTACTTTCTGATTTATTCTTATCTTCTATTATATAATATAATTATATTTGATGTACTGTTTTTTAGATAATGGCACAACAATAAACATACAGAATGGAACTTCAAACATAAAGAACTCAATGTTAACAGAACAAAAAGTTGACTTAACAGTTGACAAATCGTAGTCATTGTAACTCGACTAGCAGTAGTTCGTCTAGTGACCCGTCAACCAGCTTATCAAGTAGTAGCTTTTCCAGTGAAGGTAATTTTTTTTATTCAATTAATGTTCATTTTAATGTAATCAAAAGCATTTCATTTTTTCTACCTAATTCTAGTACTATTCTATTCAGTGTAATCAAAAGCATTTTATTTTTTTAACTAATTCTGATAATATTCTAACCATAATTTTCTTTACAGATACCGAAAACTCCGTAAAATACCCAGACTATGAAGATATAGAACAAAAACATCGTAGTCGAAGAAATACTTCATGTTCTGATGAAGAAGATTTATCTATTAGCGTAATAAATCAAGACAATATGTTATGTAAAAGTGTGAATCTGCTACCTGGGGAAAACTATAAAATGATACCCAATAACCTTATACCAATACAAAGTGAACCGCCTGATATATAGGAAAATATAAGCGCCTCTCAACTTCTTCTTCTTCTTTCATTTATTCTAATACCTACGGATTGCTTAGAGAGTGTTATATTCATTACGTCTTCGGAATAGAGATTAAACAGGTTTGGTGACGGTATACACCCTTGTCTCACACCTCGCTTTATTTCAATTTCTTCAGTGGTATTATTCTCTACTCTCACTACTGCTTACTGATTGTAGTACATATTTGCTATTAGTCGGATGTCTCGTTTATCTAAATTCTTTTTTGTCAGGAGTCTGATTAGGTGATAATGCTGGACTTTATCAAAGGCCTTATCAAAGACATAACGTTAGACATAACGGCTCAACTTCTGTTGAGCCTGTTAACAGAAGTTAACAAATACAGATTTTAGTCCAAATAAAAGAGGGAAAAAAAAGAAGAAGACAAGAAGATAATTGGCAAAAAAATGTTTCAAATGTCGGCCAAATATCACAGAGAAGCCACGTTTGCAGTTATTTAAATAATACTGGGATTTAGAAAACATCGAAAAAAAGTGGTCGTTTATCGCAAACAGTGTGAAATCACTCGTTCCAAAATATCATTACTTTAACATAGATGCCGATGGAAACGTTGCACCTTCTCGTGACAATAACAACGCTTTCTTTTAACTGTTGCTAATGCAAAGACTGGAGTGTGTAAACTATTTTTTTTTAAAATAATTTAGCAAATAATAACCGACCTATTGAGACGGTTTTAAAGAAGTAAAATAGAGAGTGCAACAGTTCAGCAATGAAAGATAATCAAGGATGTCATGAAAATAGATATAAGGTAGATGAAAGCTTTAAAAATGACGTTAAAACATTTATGGAATCAATACTAAAAATTGAATCTCATTACATGGGAGACAACTCAAAAAGGTGTTACATTGATGACAGCAAAGCGATTACCGACCTACACAGAGACTATGTTACAAAATGTAAATCACTAAATGTACCTTTTGCTACATATTTAATTTTCTACCGTATATTTACTCAAGATATCAACACATCATTTTTTGTTCCTAAAAAGGACTTGTGTGATGTGTGTGAAGGTTATAAAAATAGCACCGAGGAAGAGAAACAACAAATAAAAGAGAAATAAAAAACACATCAAAGTGAAAAAAACTCTCACGTAAAGAGAAAGAAAATGACAAAAAAGACAATAAATTGGTGGGAGTGTGGGCATACCGAGAGATGACAAGCCATAGGCATGTGCTGACTGTGCCATTATTACATTATAAACACCAATGAAAATGTACTTTAATTAATCTCAAATATTCATTGAACAAAAAACGTTTAATTTAGATAACGACTTACGTCATTATCTACATCAGAGATCAAAGTTGACATAGTTGCCAAAGTATAAAAAAATCCTGACTCCATTTTAAATCAAATAGATTACATAATTATTGCAAAAGCATTACCATCTCTTTACAACGACTATTTAAATTCTTACGTGACATTTTTGAAATAAAACACACTAATTTTGTTCTAAAAAGAACAGATTTTATTAGATAGTTAAAAATATAAAACAAGAGATATTCACTTTAAAATTCAAAATAATGAAGTACAAAAAGTGTCAACATCGAAACTGTCAAATAAGTGTTACCAATTTATGCCAAAATTTTACCTTCGTTCGATTACAGTTACAGTGTGTTCCGAACAAATGTTCTTGATAAAAACGCTTTATAATGCATTTATACAAATTAAATGAAACCTATTATTGTGTATTTCTTCAAGTTAACATTAATAAAAATTTTAAAATATGATTTCTACGCGTATATAATAAAATATGTCTAGTGGCTGTAATGTCAGTGTACTCAGTAAAGTGATTCTAAAAAGAACACACCTACTCCCTTAATATTTTGTGTTGGTATCGTGTGACGTCACAGGCTATGACGTCGATGACGTGCATCGTTATATAAATTAGATGAAGTGTATATATTCTTGTAACGTTTGTGGGATTGCTTCCATCAAGAGTTCCATATAGTGGAACTCTAGGGGTATTTTACCCCCTGCAGGTGGTTAATTACTTGAATGCACTAGATGCTTATAATTCCTTTATTAATTCTATAAGTATAATATTAAATAGTACCCAATTGACGGATGACAACACTAACTGAAACCGTTCTCTTGATTCTTCATTCTTAATAATATAGACGAAGAAATCGAATATGACTTTATTTAGCTACAATTAATTACAATATTTGGAATTATCCTTACATTTATGAGAAAGGAAAATATTTAAAAAGAACTTTTTATTGTTTTTGAATAATTTACACGAAAATATAAGTTCAGGGATAAATTTATTATAAGAGAATCAAGATTTTGTTGATGTAACGCTTGCAGCGCAAGGAAAATGCATAGAAGCACATAAAATGGATCTTTTAGTTTGTAGCCCATATTTTAGGGACATTTTTGAGTTAAATCCCTGTCAACATCCTATAGTAATTTTGACAAGACTTACGAAGCACTAAGAGACTAGCTACAATTTATATACCATGGAGAAGTACAAATTAGACAAAAGGATTTAAATATCTTTATTGAAACGGCCAAATCATTGCAAATACAAGGAGTCGCTGGAGAGAAAAAAGTTTTAAATGATAATAACATTATGGAAATTTCGGATGAAGAATATACTATGTAGAATATACTAAAATGTAGAGAATTTTAAGCTAGTTTCGTTACCTGTGACAAAGAAACAACAACCTATAAAAAAGAAAAAAAAGCAATATATAAGTATGGCCTTACAATTAACGAATGTTTAAATATTTAGCAAGCAAGGTATTACTTAGCCAGTTTGATGGAAGCGCAGGTAAACTGCAGTAAATTTTACATACATTCGAACTCCTTGAGAAAATGGCGATAGGACAATAGGGAACAGCGATAACATTAATATAAACAAGAATAACCAAGAAAGAAAGAAACCGTATAACTACAGAGGATACAATCCCAGGAGTAGCAGCGGCACTAAAGAGAGAACTGACAGGCGACAATCCGAAGACGGTAATAGCTAAATTGACGAAAAAAAGACAAAAATATAAAGATGGAGCGGTCTATGCATCTGAAGTTGAAGAATTAGCAGAACAGCTTAAAGTTGCATATGTAACGTAAGGAATGCCATTGGAACTAGCGAAAAAATATACAACGGAAACTATAGTTGCAACAATGAAACGCAACGTCAACACAGAAAAAGCTTGATTAATATTAAAAGCAGGTAACTTCACAACTACGCACGAAGTAATGTTTAAATTATTATCAATAGATGCGACAGAAGATAGCACTCAAGGAAGAGTATTAAATTATAGAACAAATTACGAAGCTAAGAGAGGACAGCACCAGTATAGGGGAGAAGACCTATCTTTAAACAATAGAACCAAGCAAAAGGAAACCAATGGAACTATACACATATGGTGTAGACAATACAGCAACCAGGCATATCGAAGAATCCAGAGAAAAGGACATAATAGGAATGTAAGGCTACCAGAATTAGAAGATAACCAAGAGAAATTGGAAAACCCGCAGTTGAGGTTTTGAATAATCAAGATAACCGAAATACACAGCTAGAAGTGGAATATCACAATTACAATAGAATTATATTCTCTTTCTAACGGATATCTATATATTCAGATAACATTTTTGAGGAAGCTATGGAAAACATAAAATAATAAATATACTCGATAAGTATGAGGTAAAATTTGTAAATAATTTGGAATAAAATTAAAAGAAAAGAGAAGAAAAATTGTGGGTATTACGGAAAATATAAATAAGATATACAGAACAATTATGAATCAAATACATCGAAATTAAACCCCCTTTGTGGATCAGCGTAAGAGCGCCTACATTTAAACCTAAAGGTCGTGAGTTCGAATCTCACCTGGGTGAAAATTTTCGTTTATTAAAAAAATTAATAAATGAAAATAGTTTCTATCCTTGTGCGATCAGTACTCACCGGAGGGACCGCAGACGTTCGGATACAATTAGCGTCTCGTAGCAAAGACAATGACGTCGACTTTGCTAAGTATCAAGACAATTACTCTAGACATACACACACACACACACACTACACACCTGACTGTAAAAATTCACTGTACCATGCCAATGGCCATTAGTTGTCGACGCATTCAACTCAATAAAAAAAATACATCGAAACCAATGATAAAAGTAACGTAACTGTTTTACCTAAAATGTTTTTATTTTTAAATTAATTTATAGATTTCTACAAAACATATTAAATCCGATTAAACTATAGAATTTTTATAATAAACGCATGGCAAAAATATAGCATGGCAATTCAACGGTTTATAAAAGCATCGTATAATAAATTTAAATAATTTGTATTCAAAATACGTTTAATGAATTCCATATTTATTTGTTTGTACGTAACCTCGGGCCTTTTTTAATTTGGTTAGTGAAAATTTACCCTTTAAACTAATTCAAAGGGCTTTTTCAGCTCCCACTCAGTTGAAATTGTTATGCGGCTTTAGGTAACCGAAATCGACATTCTAACCCCAGAGCAAATGATATTTTGTGGTTTTTAACAGCCAACAATCGTTTTTATTACTTCAATTAGCCGGCAAAATGCCACGAGAACATCAAAAACTAGTCAATTATTATTCAGGAAGTTTGTGCTCTATGCTAATGAAGTTAGGCAGTTTTAGTTACGGCTCGCTACAGTATTTGCATGTAGTGATCTGTGAACCGAGCGCTAAAGTTCTTTGCTCTTAGCAAAAAACACTTGAATATATTGACCGACTGACTCTAAAAATACAAAGAGTAATTGTAATCATGTCTTTTTTGGGTTTTTAGTTATAATATTGCAGTTCATGCAATAACAAAGTTAATTTTAAATTTGAGTTAACTATGAGCAAAGTCTTTTAATTTTCTTTAGGGATAATGTAAAATGACTTATAAATTTTGATTACTAATCTAATTATTTGCTTTAAAAATTTATTCGAATGCCATTATTGTAACTTTTTCTTAATATATGCTCC